TGACAGGCCGACCCACACGTCGCGGACACTGTTGGCGCGCTGATAGCCCGGCGCCGACTGTAGGGGCGATGACAGGCCGACCCACACGTCGCGGACACTGTTGGCGCTCTGATAGCCCGGCGCCGACTGTAGGGGCGATGACAGGCCGACCCACACGTCGCGGCCACTGTTGGTGCGCTGATAGCCCGGCGCCGACTGTAGGGGCGATGATAGCCCGGCCCACACGTCGCGGCCATTGGTGCGGGGCTGAGTGCCCGCCGCACTCGTGTCGGTCACCGTGTGGTATGTCTCGAGTGATCACATTTCCCGGTGATAACGATTTCGACAGTTTTGGTGACATTTCTGGACATAGATTTTATAACAAATGAAAAACACGTGTTTTTATGCAATTCAAAAACACTTACCACTGATTTGATGATTGGATCCAATTGTGTGACGATGTCTTGTGTTGGAAGCGATGGAGTAATGGTATGAAAGAGTTGTCCGTAAAGTATCTCTCAGTTTATGGACTGTTTTGTGGATTAATGGCTGAATGTGAGACCAAGTGTTGACTCAAAGCAATCATCATTTGATTTGTGCCCAAAACCTATGGCTTACTGTGTGTTGTGTTGTGTGAAAGTGAGACAAAGGGTTGTTTTGAATCATTGGGTTTTATTGGTTTGTCAAATATTGGGTAAAGTGTTTTATTGTCTTTTGGTTTCTTATCTTTATAGTCTTTAAGTCGTTTCTGATCTTTCAATTCCTTATCTGGTGGTGGAAAATATTCTTCTCGGTTGGGATTCAAAAGATTAACTTTTTCCACCCATTCAAGCAGTTTTTTATAATATTTGTGTAGTTTTATTTTCCTAGGCTCGAAAGCCAATAGTCTAAGATTTTCGAGTTTGCGCGGGCGTGACAATGCGGTGTATGCCTGACCTGATTCAAAAATGTCTTTGTCTAAATATACATACACATCGTCGAGTGTCATACCTTGTACTCGGTGTATTGTCACAGCCCATCCCAGTTCGAGCGGTAATTGTTCCCTAATAAACCTGTCTTCTTGTCCACAATACTCAAGATATTGTCTGATTGGTGTAATCGGTATGTCTTCTATCGGTTCGTCGAGTGTTGTGATGATAACATATCGCTCACCCATTACTTTAACTTTTGCGACTCTTCCGTTCACATGTCCCGCAGCAGTGTTTAAATTGCGGCGAAGAATAACAATTGCTCCCACTTTTAATTTTAAAACAGTTGGTAATTTGTCAGAAATATTTTCGATTAGCATTTTCTCCAACTCACATTCGATTGTTTTGTGGTGGCCATTAGTGTCATGAGCTTTGTATTCTTTGAAATCACCAGTTAATGCGTTTAATATTTTATTATTAATGTCATCTCTCTTTTTGCAAAGAGACACAATAACGTGTAGATTTTTACTAATTATTTCGTTAATATCATAATCGTTAACCATTCGTTGTTTGAAATATGCGACCACTTCTTTCGTACGATGGCCCAACCGAACTTCTCGTAACATTTGAGCAAATTCTTTGTTGTCTTGACGCACAATTTCTTGCAATACAAATATGTTAAAGTGTCTAAATATATCTTTACAATATATGTGATCGTGATATCGAGTGGGGAGTTGGGCCGGATCTCCGAAGAGAATGATGTGCTTTCCACCAAACGGCTGAATCTTTCCCGATGTTTTATATTTGTTCATATATCTGCATGTTTTTTCTAATTCTTCAAACACTACACTTGTTATCATAGACATTTCATCAATAAATAACACTTTGCACATTTGCAGCATTTGCCCTTCAATTGTATTGATTTTCAAATGAGAGTTATTTTT